ATCATTGAGTAATTAACAGAGATATTAAAATTAAATAAAGCAGCACTTACACAATGTATATCCAAGAACCCATGAAAGCCATAACTACCAGGGACACTGTTTTTATTCAGCCCAAAGTGGCTTACCAGTTTGGGAAATGTGGAGATCAATTTGAGATATCTAACCCTCAAGTGGCTGGAAGGAGGAAGTGAGAAATGTTTGAAAGGGGACCCCACTACTCTAAGTCAAGTGAAAGCATCCTGGAAGACTATAGTCAAAGCCTTGAAGAACCACGGGGAAAGGTATTACTTATAGTGTGAGAGTTATAAAAGGGATGACAATATTGAATATTCAAATAGGCAGTAGGATCAAGACCATTCCCACTATCATTAGAAGAAAGGAGCTCTTTGAAAAAGGTAATAACAGCATTACTAAAATCCTCAATATTGCCAACAATCCAAGAACCATCATCAAGCTTGATTTTATTGATGTTGAGCTTATTGGGTTTAGCTTTTAAGTAGAGATGAAAAAATCTTGTATTAACATCTCATTACTTCCCAACTGAATATTCAAATAGGCAGTAGGATCAAGACCATTCCCACTATCATTAGAAGAAAGGAGCTCTTTGAAAAAGGTAATAACAGCATTACTAAAATCCTCAATATTGCCAACAATCCAAGAACCATCATCAAGCTTGATTTTATTGATGTTGAGCTTATTGGGTTTAGCTTTTAAGTAGAGATGAAAAAATCTTGTATTAACATCTCATTACTTCCCTAATTGCTTCATGGCATTATACCTCGCTCACGTTTACATCATCATGTCCATAGTCACGTGTAAAACATGTACGGATTGTCATGAGATAAAATTATTTGGAGATGGTCCTTTGTGAATGTCGAGTCATTGTTGAATTAACACAAGATTATTAGAAGTAAATACATATTCCTATAATCCACTTCTTGTGGATTTTTTTTCATTTTGTACGAATAAGCTAAGGCTGCAGATCAGCCTATAACAACAATACCTTTTAAGATATTAAAAGTCAAACAAGAAGATAAACTTCACCTTCCGTAGGCGAATGGAAAACATGTGCTATGATGAAATCCAAAACGATGCAAAGTTTGATGCTTAGAAATTTTGAAACCGCTATTTTGAAGAACCGGGCATGGCTACAAAATAGCAAGGGAAGAAGAGAGAAAAAAAAAAGAAGAAAATAGAAGTGGGAAAACTGGGAAATCGAGCCACACATAAATGCATTCCAAATTAATTCCCACTTTTTCATTTTACGGGAGTGTTCTATTTCTTGGAATATTCCAAAATGGCGATCAGAGTTTAGATGATGGTAAGGAGGATGTGAAGGAGGGCAGCGCAGAGAGACGTGACTTTCCAAGGAGAGCTGAAGTATGAGCGGAAGTTTTCATACTTGAAATCGGTCCAAATGTGCCAATGGTTGTCATAGTGCTTGCCCACATTACGAAACACATGCTTCAGGTAGCTTTCAAGGATATCGCACGTCCCTGCCTTACCTAGCCGGGCCACAAAGGCGACCACCTCACCCTGCGTTGCTAAAGAGTGGCCCAAGACATTGGCCTCCCACAGAATGTCCACGTCCTTGTCCGTGCGTATGATGCAGCTCAGAAACATCACGTACGCTGACACCACCTTGTCTTCCCCCCGCGACACTGCTCAAATGCCACGCAGTTGAGCAAGAACGCGCACGTCAGCTCGTCCAGCTCTAGGTCCGGCATCCAAATTACTCCCCTTTCAAATTTCACCGCTAGGAAGCTCAACCTCCACGCATCCTTGTTCAATTTCAGCGTGATTCCGACTCGGCGCATCTTGGAGATGCTCTCCATTGCCCATACTCTGCGGACATCCGGGGGCGTAAATCCCCAGTCGACCCATGGAAAACAACACAACAGGGACTTTTCTACGGCTCTCTTCAGCTTGGTCTTGGCTCGCTGCAGTAGCCACAAGTTGCAATGGGCATGGCGTCGGCGCTCATCGTAACTCTTTGGGAAGTAACTTTTCCGGGCTAAATCAAGGAGATGTAGCCATTCGAACTTGTGACCTAAAGGATGAAGGTAGAAGAAGTCGATGTCCGTCTTGAACAATGAAGGGCAGATGTCACAACCCTCTGTAGTAAGGTCGAACAGCTTCTGGAGTACGATATATGGTATTTGGTTCTCGAGGCAGAGAAAGTCCTCGTGGAAACTAGAGCGTATCCATTGCATTGATCAAAATGGATCGTCTCTATCAAAGGGATCCACCTCGTTGAAGGCCAGAAACATTTCAACCACAAAGCACCCATCAAGAACCAACATTTCTACAAACTCATCGCCTTTCAGAGCAGTTATATCCTCCGAATACGATTCTCTGGCCACTGTTGTCAATCCTTCGACAGCTTTTATGTAGTCCTCCAAACCCAGGCCAGTTTTCACCCTCGTCCTCTGTATCGCCCGTTCCAAGAACCTCCACTTGTGCTTCTCCATCTCCCTCAGATGCGGCTTCCCGCGGTGGTATGGACCGATTGAGACCGTGCGAGGTTGATACGACTTGGCGTCAACTTCGGAATCGGCGAAGCCCTGAGGTACCCGGAAAATGCAGCAATCGTTTGTGCCGGCCGATTTGCTGATTAATTTCCGCTGTTTTGCCAGCTTACTTTGCATCAACCGGAAGAGTTCGTCTACATTGACTTGCCTATGGTTGCTTGTGAGTCCTTCAACCTCCTCATTCGGGGGCATCTCTTCTTTGGAGTTCCTCCCATCCATGTTTGATTCAGATTGTGGCCTGGTTGATTACTGCAACATATAGCCGGTCCCTAGCTAGGGGAATTGAAGCATCATAATCGTACGTGCTCTAACTGCATGTCCAAGTAAAGTGGCAGTATTCTGAAACATCCTTGTTTCAGAAATATGGCATACTTCGTACATAAAACACTCCCTTATTAGCTGTTTCCCAAAAAGTGGCAGTATTTTTTTTTGAAGAAAACTACGTTCACTTCTGTTCTGTATGCTCAACTACTTTATCTAGGTGTGAGCGCGGTCCGGAACGGTCCGGTAAATTGGTAAAACCCGTAATGTATCCGTGAGGTTTTTAATGGTCCGGTACGGTCGGGTTCCAAGGATGGAACCCGCGTTTAGTACCATGTCGTTTCGGAACGGTATAAAACGGTACGGTATAATGCCAAATACATGCTAAAATTTTTGAACAAATCTTGCAATTAGTAGATGTCATCACATCAACCAACTCACAAGAAATGTTGATATAAATACAAAAAATTGCATATGTGTATTAACAGGGCCGGCCATGAGAACAGTCCACCTAGACAAATGTCTAGGGCCCCCAAATGCTAGGGGCCTCCAAATTTTGATATAAAGCTATTATTATATTGGTGTAACTAGTTTTAATTCCTAATCGGAAGAGGCCCCTAGCCGGAGAAAGGAGCAAGAGATTCGGCGATAAGTGAAATTATTGTTAGTACATCGATCTAAGTACATCTTTGTGACACTCCGAAAATTTAAATAAAATAAGTAAATAAATAATTATGTTGATGAAATAAAACTTTGAGTTAAATGATAAAAGTGACATTTTAAAGTGTTGGTTAACTTTCATAAAACATACTCCGTACAATAATATTAAAGTAATACGTCGTACATTCTTACTCATTATTTGACCCCATTGGACCTTTTCAGTTTTCATACGTTAAAATAAATAAAAGTGGACAAAACCCAAGTATAATTGAGAAACTAATAAATGGTGGTCTAGAATTTTCCTTGAGTAGTGCACTAGTGCAAGGAAACTTTACAAATAATGAAGGAAACTTTATAAATGAATACGGAGGGTAAATGAGGGAGAATACGAAATGGCAACCCTAGAACCTTCCAACGTGCGTATGCAGGGGCGGAGCCAGGATTTCACTCGAGGGGGAGGCAGGCCAGAACGAAAACGTGTAAATACATAAACATATTTTTATTAAAATTGATGATTAATTTGAAATATTTGAGATACTGTAGGGCAACTAAAACAAAACAATGTATCAATATCTTAATAAGATATATTGTAGTGGATGTTTAATTTTCAAAAATCAATCTCTTACTTCATGGGCGGATTATGTTTAGGGAAAAAAAAATTAATTACTAAGAAATGATTTTTCTGTTTGGTTTTGCAACACAGCACAAATTTTAAAGGGGTTTAAGTAAAATTGATATTATTAAATTTGTTTTCATACTTAATTATATTAGTTATCTTTAACTATACAAATAGAAATATAAGATCAAATTCATCTCACTTCAAAGTTAATTCATCATATTTGATCAAATTTATGTATTCCATTTATTCATAGTTTCCTACGATTTCCCCCAACACTTTTCAAGCTTATAAAAGTCTTATAAATTGAATAGTTTTAATATAATTAGAATTTATAAATGATAAATTTAAAATTATATATCTATCAATCATAATTAGTACTATGTTTCACTTCAAAAGAGAATATTATAATAAATATATTAACATTTAATTACTCTTACAACAAATTAACCAATAAATACTAAAAAAATGAAAAGTTGGGAGGGGCAATGGCCCCCCTACCCCAAAGAGTAGGTCCGTCCCTGTGCGTATGTATAAATACTTAGCAAGACAGGAGTTCTCGATGACCAAAACGAAGCTGTGGCTGCCATAAACTTCGTATATCCATACGACCTGCGTACAAATGTACAATCACGATCGAGCAGTCCATCGATCAACTGCAAACTAAGCGATCGAAAAATGAAAGAGAGAGAGAGAAGAACGAACGTCGCCAGAAGGAGAGGCTGGAGTTGCTGCCACCGGAAGAGAAGCTCGTGCTACGGAGGGAAAGGAATCTGCCAGAGTGCTGAAACTGTGATGCCGGAGTAGGAGGAGCCACTGGAGTTGGCATCGGAACTGAGTTTACCGGACGTCGTTACTGCCGAAGACAGTTGCTGTTGACGACTGGAGGAGAGCTCCAGTTCGAGGGAAACGGGCCGCCATCTTGGATCAAACAGGGAATTGTACGCACGTAGCTATATATACTTGGTAACACTTCACACGTTTAATTGTTGTTGAGGCTGATTGATTAAATTGATCAAAAAGAAATGTTTATGAGGTAAATCTATACGGTTGATAAAATTCATTAAATTGATCTAAAAGAAATGACTATGAATAAAATATATTAAATGGATGATTAATTTTGGACTTCTGTAAATGAAACATAATAATACGAAGTGATTAATCAAATGAATAAAATAAAATTTTACTAATATAGAGATTAATTATCATTGAAGCAATTAATTCATAAGTGGGAGGATCAATAAAGTGTAGATGAATTTTATTAAGTCGATAGGATATTTACTTTTGCATTTTTATAGTAGGTGATTTGGTTGAGGAGCAAAGTAGAAGAAATATATAACTAGGAGTATTTGGAGTTTGAGGTAAGTTCCATTGTACCCAAAATTATGCCCTTTTTCTTCGTAATTATTTTGAATGTTTTTCTGTGCGTTTGAGAATTATATTTATGTAAACGTTATCCTAAGAAATTGTTTATACTTGATATATATATGTTGGGTTGCTATCATTGAATATGTATATGAGTTATCGTGTATAATTTTGGGTGATTTTGTAATAGTAATTAAGTATGTTGATATGATTGTTGGAGTTTGATAAAATGTGGATTTTAGAGTATTTTGAAAAATATGAGTTTTGATGGATTTTGAGAAAACAAAGAAGAATTAAGATTTTTATAAAAGGTGAGCACCACGGGAGAAATCCGTGGTGTCGGTTTTCCACATCCGGATAAATGTGGAGGGTGGTTAAGGCTACTACTACTCAAAGAGGAATTAGCATTTTTTATAAAAGGTGAGCACCATGAGAGAAATTCATGGTGTCGGTTTTCCACATCCGGATAAATGTGGAGGGTCGGTAGAAAACATCCCGACTTTTGAGTAGTAGAAGTAGTCGTAGTAGTAGTTCCAAATCACTCATATATATTTGAGGTGGGGTAGTTGGTAGAAAACATCCTGACTACCCGGATCAACTTACTAACACGGAGGGCTTGGAATACACTTAAGGTAGTTGTTCCGTTTCCAATTGTAAGAAATTCAAAAGAGGAGAATCTTGGTGTTTCATGTATTTTGGAATTATTATGGTATTTGCAAATTGTGTGATTGGGATTTTGTATAGATATCATTTACTTATAATTTATAAAGTGTTTTGAAAACTATTTTATGAGGTTGTACGAATTTATATCTATATTAGTTATTATTATTTTAAAAGGTTAGGTGGAACTTACTTAGCATTATTGCTAATGTTTGTTTTCTTTTTATTTTCTTTTGTTCGTTTCTAACAGGAGGTGATTATGTTGATTTTGATGCTAGAATGATTTTGATTTTGCAGACACAGGGTGCATTGGGTAAGGTGGTATAAGCTTTGTTTTCCCACTGAGGAGGGGGGTTTGGGAATCAGAAATCTCACTGATATTGAAAAGGCTTTTTCTATTAAGTTATGGTGGAAGTGGAAAACTCAAAAGTCTTTTTGGTGTAACTTTATTGGAGCTAAATACCCTAGGAGGGATAACATGGCACCAAAAGTGACTGACTCATCAGTTTGGAGAAGGTTATGTGATATCAATAGCATTGCCACTGAACTGTGTAGTTTTGAGGATGGAATTATTACCTGGAATCTTGAAGGCAATGGACAGTTCTCAATCAAATCAGCCTACAATGAAGTTAGGGAGAAGAGATATATTACTTTCACAGCAAAGCATAATTGGAATAAACACCAACATATGCAAATAAAGGTATTTATGTGGAAGCTGCTTAATAGTTATTTACCTGTGACTGATAATTTACAAGGATTTCATGTAGTTATCAACCCCTCCAGATGCCCCTTATGCAAGAACCACAGGGATTATACTAATCATTTATTTTTTGGGTGCACTTTGTGAGGAAAATTTGGAATTACTTCATGGGGATTTTCAATATCCCAATTCCTAGGGCTGGTTCTATCAGACAGGTGCTTATCATATGGTGGTTAGAAGCGGGCTCTAAATCCTTTTCTGATATCTTCAAACATATCCTCCCCGGTGTTATATGTTGGCATATATGGAAGGTTTACTCATCACACATTTGGGGTTCTACTCCAATACCAAACTATGAACACATTATTTCTCAAATTAAGGAATATACTCAGAAGTGGGCGGGCGTGTACACGGATGAAACTAAAGCCGAGGAAGGTCGAAGGTTTGCTTTTCCAAGAAAATTTAATTCCTTCTAACTTTAGGTTTCACAGCACAGGTTGGAAGATGGTGAAGTGGAAAAGACCTATGAACAACTTCAAATTAAATGTTGATACTTCGTTTTTACCTGGTTCGGCGAAAGGAGGTGCTATCCTTCAAAATCGAGAAGGCGAGTTGATCTGGGCTACTTGCTTCAAAGTTACTGCTGCAACGAGTGAGATGGCGGAGCTTCAAGCGATTATCCGAGCAGCGTCAATGGCGATGGAAATGGGGTTTGTTGACTTTCAGGTAGAATCCGATGCGTCTGGTGTTATCTCTATGCTTAAGGCCGGATCAGGAAAGTATGCAAGACTCCAGTCTTTCAGAAGAAGGGCGGTTGAGAAGGGGATTGTTTTTGGACATGTATTCAGGGAAGCTAATGGGCCGGCACATCATTTGGCGGGTCTAGATATACAGGCGACCCATTCCATTCTTTTTTATTCAGTACATAATTTGCCATCTACTGTTAAATCTGGTTATTATTCTGATCTCTTCGGGTTTCCTTACTTTCGTCTTTAATTCTTTTCCATGTTTGTTTTTTCCCATGTACTGTTCTATTTCCTTGGGAGAGGTTTTGGTTTTGTCCCCCTCTCTTTTTGTACTCAACACGTTTATCAATAAAATAACGGCATATGACTCTCGGCACATGCCCCATTGATTTTGGTGGCTTACCTTCCTGGATTAAAAAAAAAAGTTTGAGAGCGCAAACTAGAAGACCTTATCGTAGTTCACTAGAATAAACTTTAATATTTGCTTATGATTCGAACATCTTGATTTTTATTTAAACTCATGTTTTGGTAGATAGCCTTAACATCCAATCATTTACGGATTGGATGCGGCGGTGACATACCCCTTTTCCTTTATTTTATTTACTAGATTTTTACCCGTGCGTTGCACGGAATGCAGTTATTAAGCAATACGTTATTTGAAAATATATTTAAAAAATGTGATAAAAAAGCAACACACACGGATTAATATATTATCACTTCTGGATAAAGTGTTATACGGATTAGTATAATTATGATATTTTTAATTGGAATGTAATACCTAAACATAGCATCAATTAATAAACCCTCCGTCTCATTTATATTGTCTCGTTTTACCTTTTCGGGAAATCTCACTTAAATTGTCCCATACCATATCTAGTAAAGCTTGTGTGGCTCAAAATCATTCTTACTTTATTCTTACTTAATCAATTAATTTTGACCACACAAACTCACTTTTCATAAAACTAATGCCACTTTCTTCCGTCCCAATATAAAAGGGACGGAGGTAGTAATATAATTGAAAATGTACTCTCCCGACCCATATAAATCGTTACATTTTCCTTTTTGGGACATCTCATTTACTCTTTTACGTAACATTTTTAGGCAACTCCTTTTAAATTAAATGTCGTCCTAAACTCGTAATTACCCTTCACTACTCACCCACTTTTTACATTTGAATGGATAGCATTAATTACCCCAACAGTCAAAGGACATTGAAGACATTTGTTCTCCTATTAATTGAACTCGTAAAATACTGTGCCAAAAGCAAATGTCAAGTTTTATACTGGACGGAGGGAGTAATATGTACGTTAAAAGATGTCAACTTTTATCAAGAACGGAGGAACTCACGTTGTCATGGCAAAGCTAAGCATACAATATAAATTGTTCAAACGTAATTGCGAATGAGATTCAAACGTCAATCAAGGAATAAATTCAGTCATAAGAACTCACCTGACATTTACTCAATTCCATATGAGTCTACACAATATAAACAATTTAAGTCTATTACATGTGTATTTTACAATTGTTAAAACTTTATCTAATCTAATTTAGTATGATCTGGTTTATTTAAGGCTGATCTAACATATTCTGGCTTGAGACTGAGTTTACTAACACTATCCAACGTGGGACTAATATTAAAATATTCATTAATATAACTCTTAAAAGACCTTGTTGTTGTGGTGTAATCTCAGTGTTTTGACGTTCACGTCGATTTTAGCTTTTTATGGTATGATGATTTGCTATATATATAGGATACTTTCTTCCTACTTTCCTAGCATGTATTTTGGAATTTGGATGGAGCGGGTTCATCATCCATGTATGCACTTTTTTCAAATGTACTCAAAGTTTTGCTCGACAATTTCTTCATGAGTACAAAAAGATAAAAAACGCATTATTGATATTTAATCGTCAGAAAAGTATAGATATTGCAAATGCATCGCAATACTCTTTCAACAGAAAAGTAAATAAACAAAAAAGATAAGGAAAATAATTACATGAATGATGTATCAAGAGTCAAGGGTATTGTTAAACTAACTACATCATCTCCAGCTACACAGTAATATTTCTCCTAAGCGGGGACTCTGCCATCAGCACTATGGTAAAAATTCTCTTGAAGCAGATCATACAATTTGCTTCCACTATCCAGATCATTGAAAATTCCAGCTAGTATGACATTTGTCACCGGTTGGATTCCTTCACCCCTCTGCAATCTGCATGACGGTATTTTTCGCATTTCACAAGATAACTCCAAAATTTGACTATTGTGTTTATGTATATTATTATAGACTTTTTCTGTGCTATGTATTGCTTGAACGGCAGATTCAATCAATATAATTTTATTTATATGTAATCTAGAATTCAATCAATATAATTAAGACAAATAATACTGATAACAACCTGTAATATGGATATGATCAAATTAATTTAAAAACAGAATGGTCGAAATTAACATACCTTAAGTACAACGACGATACCAAGTAATATAAAGTAAGAAATCCAAATATAAACTCCAGATATCAAGTAATATAACTTCCAAATTCTATCCAGAATTCATCATACACAAAAGTTAAAGAGATCGTTTGGAGAGATGTAGTTTGTTTAATTGTTTCACACACTAAGCATGTATTTGTAGAATTATTTGAAATAGGAAGAGATGAAAGTAGTCACTTGAGGATTTCCTTCAATTTTGTAGTTGAGTTGGAGCACCATGTTGACACTTCACACTTCTTCACATGCTCTTCCTCTCTAAAAACTGGGAAATCCCCATCCTTGGGTGGGTTGAATACCAAAGCCCCATTGAAAATTTGATGTACTGAAAGCTTAAAGATCCCTATCATAATAAAGTAGGGTTGGAATTCAGGTTATCCATATACTGAAATTCATCAATACAAATTTGTTCTGAAAATAATTTAAAATAATAATAAAACTAAAAGTTGAAGAGAAAAAAATTCTAGAACATAACGTTTGTCTATCATATGCGTGAATATAGAGGAAGGATGAAAGAGAATTTGTTCTGAATTTATCCTAAATTTTAAGACATCCAAAACAAAACAAAATAGAAAAGTGATTAGTACAACAATAACATCCAAGTCTTAGTCCAAAAAGAATTCGCAGTCAGCAAATATTAATCGATACATGATATTTGAACCAAAGGGAAAAGAAATATAAAAAGATAAGCTATGATAAAAAGATAATATAAAAAGAAAAAGATAGACGGAGTAAATAAAAATGATAGAATAAAATGGATAAAAAGAGTATATACATAAAGATAAAAGGATAATAAAACACAGGAAAGAAAAACACAAGAAAGAAAAGTGATTAGTAGAAAACTAAATTCTGAAGAGGAATATTGAACCGAAGAACGTATGAATAATGAGGAGAGACACACACTGAGGGAAAAGAGCTTAATTCTTCTCCATTTAAGAAGAATCAGGTAGAGAAAAATTAGTAGCATGTAACAACTTATACAATGCAGCTAACTCACCAATAGCTCACTGCCTGACATGTAAAAAAAGTGCTCAGATTTGGAACTTATCAAACCACAAAAGAAATACTCCTATATATCTCATTTTCCTTACAAATTTTTAGGAAATATATGAATATATGATTGTGGACTTATCACTAACAATTGTGTATATAGTTATGTATATACGTACTATATGTAACTTTTACCGAGTACCATATTACAGAGTAGCTCATAAAATTAAGACTAATATTAACACTATAACCTATTTAAGCAATGAATCACAGTTGGAGAGTTTATAAAACTAAGACTAATATTAACAATTAATTCAAAACAGAGTTGGAGAGTTTAGTAGTTTACCATAAATAATACTTTACCCTCCCTTCTTCATTTCTAAAAATGCATGGAGAATTGGGTTAGCTTTCTTTACAGGAATGCCAGATGGAAGATGTGAAGAATGTCAATTTAGAGAGCATATTCTACTTCTAGGAAGAACGTCCCTGTATGGAGTAAAAAGATAAAGCATACATAAATACATAATAATATAGTTGGAAATACTTGATCTTTGAAAAAAAAATTATTTCCACCTCGACCATGTGTGAAAGAGTAAATATTAGTTTGATGATGATGGCCTAATAACTACAGTACAATAACTGCCAATCAGGGCGGAAGAATCCCATATTAGCTTCCTGCCATGTGGAACAGAAGAAGCAAAAATTTAGTTTCAATAAATGCATAAATATGAGGAAGAAGTGCTATAGAAAAAGAAAATAAGAGTAAATGATAAAATATTAAATTTGATTGTGAAGAAGCATAATTCCATAATTTTGATTACTCACTTAACTGCTTCTTTAACATTATCACTAATTTGAAGTTTGAACCGTCTATTATGTTTTGAACAGTAAATCTGAATATAATGCTACAATTTGATTATTAATAGACATCTGCAGACTCAAATAGAGTTAGAATAGACACTAACATACATTTGCACCTTCCATATGTTAACTTGAACTAAAATCATCAATTTTTAATATCTCAAATCCTAAGAAAGCGATCAGGAACTCTCATGAAACATATCTCAACCTACCTTTACTAAAAGTCTGCTATTGGTGTGTAGAAGCAGATAGAGTGTGGAGTTTTGCACCTTTAAATTTGATTTTTTACTTTTTTGTATTCAACCTTCAAAAATCTGCAAAATATGAATGTAACTTTAAGATGGAATGAAACTTCCAGATCATTTTGAGCAACCCCAAATCATATGCAGCAAGTTTAAACAAAAACAACTAATAAAAAATTAATTAAATGCAAGCAACAAAGGAGTCGTAGTCTGAAATACAAAAATCCAATATAATATGATGTGAGATTGAATAATCAAACTCAAAAGAACAATCGGAAAATTTAGACGGAAAGGTTCTAATCAATGGTTCTCTAAAGTTTCACCAATGAAGTTATAATCTTCTAATCAAACTCACCATTTAGGGATCCGGAAAGCTAATCACAAAAGTGTTCGATTGTAACCTTCATGTTTGCTTCATCATTCCAGAAGGATTCCGCCACACACTCCACTTCCCAACATAGGTTTTCCCTCTTCAGAAAAATTGGCAAAACCCAGAAGCAAATCGGAGCCAAGAGCGAAGAGATAAAGGGGTACGTGAGGGAGAAAGCATGAATTGGGTAGGTTTGATTGGTGGAGTAGGGGAGGAATAAGAGCAGCGATAAGATATAAGGTAAGAAATGCGAATGCAAGACGAACATGTGCCTTTGAGTGATTTGGTTTCCGGTGGTGAGGGAGAATGATGAGGATCGAAGACGGAGCTCGAAAACGATGAGACATGGGAAGAGAAAGAATGAAGTGTATAAGGCTTAGATCTAAATTAATTAATCGCACGGCTGAAATGACCCTTAAAACTTGAGCGGGAAAATGTTCCTCCTCAAAGTATTGCAATTATGTAGAGAGATTTCCACTGCAAACAATTTGAATGTTTAAATAATAAATAAAAGTTCATTTCTATTTCAAAGTATTGGGTGGGAAATTTGGGGGTGTCACAAGTTGGTATTAGAGACAATGGTTTTTCCGAGGCATTTTCCAAAGTTAAGGGTGCATCTCCTTTTAAGGGAGCTCATCACCCAAGAACTCCAAAGTTAAGCGTGCTTGCACGGGAGTAGTCTTGGGATGAGTGACCCCCTGGGAAGTTTCTCAGGGCGCGCATGAGTGAGGACAAAGTGCGCGGTAAAGGCTCGTGGTGGTTTGTGAGGACAGTACTAGAGGTCTGGAGTAACTACTTTGATCCTGCGGGCCCGGGGTGTTACAATCTTAGTCGGTTAGAGTCTTAGTCAGTTGTTTCCTTCTATATTATTGATTAAGAGTAATTTTTTCCCAATTGTTAGTACGTCTTAGTGGGTTGGCGTCTTAGGGACTAGCCACTAGCGATTAATCCATTATGATGTATTAATGAATTATAGTATGCTACATATTTGTGTTTGTATTTAAAAAATAAAATATTAAATGTATTTGTATAACTCAATATGACACTAACAGTATAAGTATTAGGAGTATTATATACGTGGTAATAAATAATACGGAGTATAATGTATTGTCTTAATCGTTTACTCAAAAAACTCAATCATATACTTGGTTGTGTAAAGCGAATGAATTGATTATAATAGTTATAACCATTTGTGAATGTATTAAAATTTAGAAAAACTTGATTAAATTAGAATTGTGATTTGTGATTATATGGTCATGTTCATTAAATTTTTATTTGTGAATCATTTACTTACCTATTGTTATTTTGTATGGAGTATGAAATTTAGGTTGTTATCTCTGATCGAATGAAAAAATTTATGTTTTCGATTGAAAAAATGTTAACTATTCTTGATTTAGTGATGTTTTTACTTATTTTTCTTTTAAAAAAACTAGAAGAATATACTATACAAATCCATGTATTTTTTGATCAATTTTGGGTCATTTACTTTCAAAGAATTACTATCTTTACATAATTAATAGGAGCAGTCTATGCTGCATTTCATAGTAGTATGTAATTTTATTTTGTTTACGTGATATTATATTTGTATATTAATATGATGAATAAAAGTAAAGTTTCAAATGAAATGCCTATTTGGTTGTCTAGACGGCCCTGTAGTGTATTAAAATTCACAAATACTCAAAAAGTGCAACACAACTAAGAAAAAGTATAGCAAAATGATGTCGCACCAGATAAATATCATCTCCAATTTACCAAGTTCGTGAAAATATAAAAAAAAATATCATCAAATTGTTGAATATAATAGTAATTTTCAACGTTCTTCGATCTTCTTATTCATTCTAGGTTAAATATTACTCTATAATTCTAATTTAATTTATAGTTGAACCTTGAGAACTAAGATTTAAACCATATTAATTAAGTTGTAAAATTGCACAAACATGATACATACTAAAATATAACATAAATTATCTAAAAAGAACAAATAACGATATATATATATATATATATATATATATATATATATATATATATATATATATATATATATATATATATATATATATATATATGGGGTGAGATCACATACTAACCATTCCTCCCATGCTAACCTACAAACTATCAAAAACGATGCATCTTTACATTATTTGTACTGCATATTGAAGTTCAAAGTAATGCATATTATTTGTATTGCATATTAAAGTTCAAACTTTTGCATATTGTTTTTATTGCATATTGAAATTCACAGTGTGCATCTTTACATTATTTGTACTGCATATTAAAGTTCAATGTGTTGCATATTATTGAGTTAGTAAGTTAGTATTTTAAGCATGGTTAGTATGTGATCTCTTATCATATATATATATATATATATATATAAACACAAACATTTAGCTATTTTAGGGATGCATGAATAGATACATGGGCTTTAAAATGGTTGATCTATAGAAGAGATTTGAATTTTTTATATTTTTCTATTCATATAAGATCTATATGTATAGAAAATATAAAAAAATCAAATGCATTATAAATTTTTGAACGGTTCAGTCCGGTATTTTTCGGTTTTCAAAATTTAGGACCAGCCCCGTACCCGTTTCAAACGATACGGTTTCGGTACAAGACAAAAATCTGTAGAACCGTTTAAATACTCGGTATTCGGTTCGGTACCATTACGGGACGGTTCGATACAGGTTCGGTTCGAGTTTTATGCCCACCCCTAACTTTATCTTTAGGGCCACATATAATCAAAATATAATTAAAAGTTATTATTATAATTAGAAATAATTCCAAATATAATCAAAATATAAGTAGTGGACAAAAATGTGATCTTGGTAATTTAAGTGACTATACTTGTATTAAAATGTTACTCCCTCCGTCCCGTTATGATTTATTTTACCTTTTCGGTCCGTCCCACTAAGAATCTCGCATACTCCCTCCGTCCCCCAATTATGTTCCTAGTGAATGCTCGTAACATTTCAACCACGAAGCACCCATCAAGGACCAACATCTCTACAAATTCATTGTCTTTGAGAGTTATATCCTCAGATTAGGATGATCTGGCCTCTGCTTCCAATCCTTTGACAGCTTCTATGTACTGCTGCAAACCCACACCTTTGGCCTCGGTCGTCCTCTTTATTAGGGCTACACATCGGGCAGGTTGGGTCGGGTTTGCTATATTTTTTGGGCCTACCCGATTTGTTCGGGTTGGCTATTAACCAACCCGCGCTACGAAAAATAAGTTGATAAACCATGCATGAGCGGGTCGGGTAGGGTCGGGTGTTGGGGAAAAAATCAATTCGGGTTGCATCTTTCATGTGGGAAATTAATGTAACCAATTTAAAACTCGATTAACTTGTTTTCAAAACACACAAACAAATACAAATACTCGTCTCTTTTATAAGCAAAAACATTAGGTAATAATATTACAACATCCTTCCGTAAAGGAAGTTCATTTAGAAGGAAACATAAATATATACTCCCTCCGTCACGTTTTTAAGTTCTTACTTTAACCCTCACACATTTTTAGGAATTAAATTTGACTTTATTGTTTAGACACTGTTTAGACACTGTTTGACACTGTTTGACACTGTTTTGATGTAGAGAAACTTTCCATTTAGGGAAATGAGAAGATAATTTTGGGACGTCCCAAAAAGGAAAGCAGGAAGTTAATAACGGGACGGAGGTAGTAATAATCACCTAGTCAAAATGATAAATGTCTAATTATAATTCTAATATCATAAAGTCCTAGATAGAGCACATTGGTCTTAAATTGAAATTATTCAAGAAAACGTTGTACCATAATAATAGTAAAATGAACTTCGGCCGGGTCGTGTACTATCGTGTTTGAGATTTTAATTCTGCAACCCTACCCATTAGGTGCGGGTTCAAACATATTTAACCCATGAATATTTTTAAAAATCAAATACCCGATTAAATAGGGCCAGGTAGGGTTGGATCGGGCTGGTTATGCGGGTTCAGATTATTCTTGTGCAGCCCTACTCTTTATCACTCTCGCCAAAAACCTCCACTTATGCTCCTGTATCGTCTTCAGATGCGGCTTCCCGTGGTGGTATGGACCAATTGAGACTATGCGCGGTTGATACAACCGGATGTCGACTTTGGTGAAGCCCGTATGTACCCGGAAAATGCAGCACTCGCTTCTGCCGGCCGATTCGCTGAGTGCTTTCGGGGACTCCGATAGCTTTCTTTCAAAGAATTGGATGCGTTTGTCTTCCTGCCCGTTCATGATTGATATTCTGGAATCTGGATTATACTCCAATGTCCAAACTATTTTTGAATGGAGTATCACTTAACAAAGCTGGTTCCTAGCTAGGGGAAACATCATAATTGTACTCCGTCCTTGTACTCCGTCCTTTTTTTTTTTTACAAATATCACATACATAGTACTATAGTACACTCCCTTAGCTGTTTCCACATAAAGTGATGGTATTTTTTTGTAACTTTGAGCTTGGAATAGTCTTGAGTTTTGATTGTAATCGATTGAGTAGTTTACTTCTCTGTGCTCAATTATTGACATAGTTGTGACTGCAACCCATTGAATAAAGAAAATGAAAGGTAGAGATTATAAAATCTGATAATGATATCAAGGTTTGAGTTTTCAACCAAAACCTCAAATCTATTTGTATTGGAGACGCTTCAAAAGGGAGAGGTTTAAAGAAGTGTTTCCATTAAAACATGGCTTGTACAGAGTATTTTGTCCATCATTGATATAATGATATGAAAATTATTTAGCCCTTATATTGTGATTGAGAATTGTTAACAATTTTGATATCTCATTTTTGTCCCCCTTATGTGCAATTTGCTAACTGCTTGTTAACTGTTTTAATAATTAGTTTTAGAATTTGCAACTTACGATTCTCTTCAAGCCTTGTTTCCCTAAGTCAGTCTCAAGAGTTTGCAACTTGTTACTTGTGCTACGCGTAGTTCTCTTCGCACAATTGAGAAAATTACAACTCTAGCTCTGCTAGCAATGGATTTGGACCATTCTTGGTCTGTGTACACAGGCAACTAAGGGTTTTTGTATACACTAAGAATTTTTCAATGAATTTTGGCGGTGTGTTTTGGAAATTGTTATTATTTTGCTAAATATAAAAATAATACAAGTATCAATTACCAGACTTATTTAATTTATGGCCCAAGCTGGTACTTGAATTGTAGTGGTTGTATTGTGAAATAGGATAGTACTAAGTACATTGCCGATATATACTAGAGGAGCAGCTGATACTTTTCATTCACTAAAAGTTTTACATTTCAAATTTCTCCATTGTTTCAAACCCTTATGTGCCTGGCAGGTTTCGAACTCGAAATCTCTCGCTAGGCATGGTAATCTCAGAACCAGCTGAGTTTGAATGCTTGGTTGACAATTGACTAATCACTCTCCCTTTGATTCATTTGATCTCATTGTAGCAGAAACATGAAATAGCGAGCTGAGTGGCCGTTGAAGAGAGGATGTTCCTTTTCTTTTAGCCACCCTTCAATGCCATGTTCGAAGATATAAGGGGACTCTTCTTACCACGTAGATGGATCTCGATTTTATGTATGCTAAATTGCTAATTGCTAAGTCATCTCCGAATCACGATGTCTTAGTGGGGCATGTTGTTGATCACACAGATTGCATTTTGTAGACTGGTTTGCCAGTTTGCCACCATATTGGAATATTGGATTGTTCGTTCAGTCAGTTGATGGCTTAGAGCATCCACATTAATCTTAAGGTTTTTCGGCTTATTATTGTCATGTCACATCCACATAAGATAATCTCAAATAATCTCTAAATCAATAAATTTCTCCTCATTCATGATCTTAACTTACCTTGGATAGGAACATGAGCATGCAGGAACTACAAAGCTAGTCATCACCATAATATGAGTTTATGCCTAGAAGTTGGAAATAATCTCAAAATAATCCAGCTTTAGAAATTGATACTGTTAGATATTATATTAGCCATTAAGGGTGGTTTGGTCATTTTATCTTTTATGTTTAGATTAGCTATTGTACATATACTCTTTGTATGTTCTATATTCATTATCTCATTTTCATCTACATATCTCTTCTTCTTCCACCCTAGAGCTCCTCTCTTCAATGGCTTTATCATGGTATCAAGAGCTACACAAGGGATCCTCTTAATATCATCTGTTTTTTCCCTACTGGTTCTTGCTTTGATTATGAGTTGTGGAGTTGCTGGGTCCCTAATTTTTCACTATTTCTCTTGCACTGCTTTGATATTTGAGCTCAGGTTCGATTTCCCCTAATTTCCGTTTCTGCAATTTGTTTGGATTTGAGGATACACTACAAAAAAAATACGGGATTGACAGGGATTTTGGCAGGGATTTGGAACGGATTTTGGCAGGGATATGCCAAATTCGTGCCAAAAACACTTTGGCACGAGCTATTTGGCACGCAAAATCGGTAAGTCCGTGCCAAATTCCGTGCCAATCCCGTAATATTTTTGTAGTGATATATTTTGGACTTGTTGGATTTGTTGCTTGGGTCTGTCAATTAGTGGTTGTTGTTGTGTTCACTATGGCTGAGGGAGAGGATTCTTTACAGTCTATTAGTGTTAGATTGGATGGTACAAACTATACATATTGGAGCTTTGGGATGAAAAACTTTTTAAAAGGAAAGAAAATGTGGAAGTATGTTTCTGGTGCAGCTACCATCCCTACGAAATCTGTTGATGGCGAAAAATTTGATGAGTTGCTTGATGTTTGGGATACCAATAACTCCAAAATTATCACATGGATAAATAACTCTGTTGAACATAGAATCGGTATGCAATTGGCCAAATATGATACTGCAAAACAGGTTTGGGATTATCTACAAAAGTTGTATGTGAGGTCCAACTTTGCTGTTCAGTATCAATTGGAGGCTGATATTCGAGCCCTTGTTCAAACAGAGGATATGGGTATTGAGGAATTCTACAACAAAATGACTATGCTTTGGGATCAATTGGCTGCAACTGAGTCTGCTGAATTGAGAGCCTTTGCTCCATATATTGCTCGCAGGGAAGAACAACGTCTGGTTCAGTTTTTAATGGCTCTTCGTTCTGAGTTTGAACTTATGCGTGGGTCAATTTTACATCGTACTCCGCTGCCTTCTGTTGATTCTGTGGTTCATGAGTTACTTGCTGAAGAAACTCGTCTTAAAACTCATACTAGTAAGGCCGCCCATGCTTCCACACCTTCTGTGTTTGCTGTTCCACAGAGTGCAGACTCTTCTGCCATGGCAGTCCGTACACAAAGATTTTCACAGAATCGACATATGACCACTCAAGAATGTGCTTACTGTAAGGAGCAGGGTCACTGGAAGAATCAATGCCCGAAATTGCTAGAAAGAAATCGTCAAACGGGACAACCACGAGGAGGACGGGCACCTCAGTCTCAATACCGTTCTGGTAGTCGCCGTGGACATTTCTCTGGTGGAGGCCCACATTATAATTTTCGCCCAACTACAACTACTTTTGTGCCTTATTCCGATCAGTCCCCTAAAGAGGAGCATGTCAGTCCAGAGACTTCCTTGGCTGACCAGTTTCAGAAATTTTTAGCTGCTCAGACAACTCCTCAGTCACATGCCATGTCTGCCTCATCCTCTGGTGCCTCAGGTTTGTTTTCTCCATGGGTTTTAGACTCTGGAGCTTCACATCATATGTCCCCTCATTTGCCTTCCTTTGTTTCAATGTCACCTAATGTTTCTGAAACAGCAGTCTCAACCGCTGATGGCTCTCTTATGCCCTTGATAGGCATTGGTAATGTCCAAACAACGAATATATCCTTATCTGATGTTTATTGTATTCCCAAGTTAGCCATGAACCTTACTTCTGTTGGTCAATTATGTGATTCTGGTAATTCTGTTCATTTCTTTCCTTCCACTTGTCATATACAGGATCTGAAATCCAAGGAGAAGATTGGGACCGGCCATAGAGACAAGGGGGGATTATACATTTTGGATAGGTTGCACCATACTAATAATGTGGCTGCCACAGGTGTCGATTTATCCAAATTTCATTTGACTTCATCATCTTCTAAATTTGTTTTGTGGCATTCTAGACTTGGTCATGTTTCTGGACCACGCCTTCGGTTTATGGTTTCTAGTGGTGTTTTGGGAAATTTGAAACCTCATGATATTTCTGATTGTAGTGGATGTAAGCTTGGACAGTTTTCTGTCCTACCTTTTAAACTGAGTGATTCTAAGTCTACTGCACCTTTTGAGTTGATACATTCTGATGTTTGGGGGCCTGCCCCTATTACCACAAAAGGGGGGTCTCGATATTATGTTTCTTTCATTGATGATTACACTCGTTATTGTTGGGTTTATCTTATGAAACATCGTTCTGAGTTCTTAAATATATACACAGCTTTTCAGTCATATGTTAAAACCCAACATTCTTCTGTTGTCAAATGTTTTCGTTCTGATTTAGGTGGAGAATATACTTCTGGCAGCCTTTCTAATTTATTTGTTTCTGATGGGACTGTGCATCAGTCTTCTTGCACTGACACCCCACAACAAAATGGGGTAGCTGAAAGAAAACATCGCCACATTGTAGAAACTGCACGTTCTATGCTTTTGTCCGCTAGTGTTCCTAGTGAGTTCTGGGGAGAAGCAGTACTTACGGCTGTCCATTTGATTAATATGATTCCCACGGCTCATAATTCTGGTATTTCTCCATATCAAAAGTTGTATGGTCGTACTCCTGACTATTCTAACTTGAGAGTTTTTGGAAGTACTTGTTTTGTTCTTAAGCCTAGTGTTGAGCGTACTAAGTTGTCATCTCGTTGTGCCATATGTGTTTTCCTAGGATATGGTGAGACTCAAAAAGGTTTTCGTTGTTTTGATCCATCTACTGGAAAGTTGTATGTTGCACGTCATGTTGTATTCATTGAGCATATTCCTTTCTTCTCCATACCTTCAGTCTCTCATAATCTCACTCGCTCTCATCTTCTTAGCATTGATCCATTTAACATTCATGAAGATCATATGAACTTGTCTCCTACTGCCATTACAAACCAGGAAAATGGCGATCTTGATGATGCCCCCCCCCCCCCCCCTTATGGCTTCCCAAGAACCTCTAGTGATTGCAGATCCTCCTCCACATCCTCCCGTTCGTCCTCGATCAGATCGCATCCGTAAGTCCACTAAACTACCTGATTTTGCCTATTCGTGTTATTCTCAGTCATTCAGTGCTTTTCTATCTTCTATTCATCAATTGTGTGAGCCTTCATCTTATCTTGAGGCATCAGGAGATCCACTTTGGCAACAGGCTATGACTGAGGAGCTTACTGCTTTAGCTAGAAGTCACACATGGGATCTTGTGTCATTACCAGCGGGAAAGAAACCAATAGGGTCTCGTTGGGTGTATAAAATCAAAACAAAGTCTGATGGGTCTATTGAACGATACAAGGCACGGTTAGTTGCGAGAGGTTTCTCTCAACAGTATGGTATGGATTATGATGAGACTTTTGCTCCTGTTGCCAAAATGACAACTGTTAGGGTTCTCCTAGAAGTTGCATCTGTGCATCAGTGGCATATCTCACAACTGGATGTCAAAAATGCATTTTTGAATGGTGACCTTAAAGAGGAGGTCTACATGACTCCTCCACCCGGTGTTCCCCATGGTGTTGGACAGGTTTGTAAGCTCAAAAGAGCACTTTACGGGCTCAAACAAGCCCCTAGAGCTTGGTTTGAGAAGTTCTCTGCGGTGATTTTCTCTCTTGGTTATGCATCTAGTCATCATGATCCCGCATTGTTTGTCAAGTCTTCCTCTGCAGGCCGTGTGTTGCTTTTGTTATATGTTGATGATATGATTATTACAAGTGATGATGTTGATGGTATTGCACTTTTGAAATATACCTTAGCCCAGAAGTTTGACATGAAAGATTTGGGATCATTGAGGTATTTTCTAGGAATTGAGATAGCTTCTTCGCCAAAAGGCTACCTTCTTTCTCAATCTAAGTATGCAGCAGATATTATTGAACGAGCTCGTCTGACAGATACTAAGGTTGCTGATTCTCCCCTTGAGGTTAATGTTCGTTATTCTCCTTCAGATGGAACTCCTCTGGCCGATCCTACTCTATATCGTACTATTGTTGGAAGCTTAGTTTATCTTACTATTACTCGTCCAGATATTGCTCATGCTGTCCACATTGTTAGTCAATTTGTCATTTCTCCTACTTCTGTACATTGGGCTGCTGTTGTTCGTATTCTTCGCTACCTTAGAGGAACTATTTGCCAGAGCTTGTTATTCCCTTCTACCTCCTCTTTAGAGCTTTCTGCCTTCTCAGATGCAGATTGGGCTGGTAACTCAACAGATCGTAAATCAACTACAGGATTTTGCATCTTTCTTGGGGATTCTCTTATATCTTGGAAGAGCAAGAAACAGGATATTGTGTCACGATCTTCCACTGAAGCTGAGTATCGTGCTATGGCTTCTACCACTTGTGAGATTGTTTGGTTACGATGGTTACTTGCTGATATGGGAGTACATTGCACAACTCCAACACCTCTTTACTGTGATAACAAGAGTGCCATTCAAATTTCTCATAACTCTGTATTTCATGAGCGTACAAAACACATTGAGCATGGAACCATCTCCTTGCCTTTCGTTTCTTCTTCAAATCAGCTTGCAGACTTCTTTACAAAAGCTCATACTATTGATCGTCATCGTTTTTTTGTTAGCAAACTCTCGATGATTCTTGCCGCACCATCATGAGTTTGAGGGAGGGTGTTAGATATTATATTAGCCATTAAGGGTGGTTTGGTCATTTTATCTTTTATGTTTAGATTAGCTATTGTACATATACTCTTTGTATGTTCTATATTCATTATCTCATTTTCATCTACGTATCTCTTCTTCTTCCACCCTAGAGCTCCTCTCTTCAATGGCTTTATTAGATACCAGATTATTTTATCAAATAATCTCATAAAATAATCTCAACTCCTATCCATGATCCCCAAAAAGATCTTCCACGTCATCAAAATGATCTAAAAAATCATCTATGGATGTGGATGTCCTTAATATATCGCCTGCTTTACTGCTTCTCTCGAGGACCCCAGTCTCAAGACTCAACACAGCCATTCAGCCAAGCTGCCAATTAAGGGACTAAGGGTTTCAGTTTTTTTTTTTTGTTTTTTTTGTTTTTACACTTTTAGTTTAATTTAAGTAATTTATTTGTTATTTTAATTTGTTGACGAGCACTTTGTCGTAGTGCGTCAAAATAAATCGATACTAACACTTATACGTAGTATAGTGAAGTAGAGTTCGTATTCAAAGGGAAATGAATACTTGTCTTTTACAAAACTAGTAGTAATTAGAAGGGGGATTTTGGGATTGTATGATTTTAATTAGTTAAATACTAAGATGAATTAATTAATTATTGAGATAAATGACTTGACTTTGCTACTTTCCCCCTGTTGATATGTTTGTTGATCCTTGTTATATCTATAACTTATCCCCTCTCGAATACTCAATCGAGGAGTATCTCCAATTCATCGAGGGTAGTTATTAACAACGACCATTCATTAATAACTCTTACTATTAGCCAAGTATAGAACACCGCCATATACTGACTTGATAGTAGAATTTAATCTTTTAACTCCTTGATGAAATTAATTGAGATTGATAACCTTAACACAATGGTTTCGGTTTAACAAACACAATTAATCTCTCTTAAGATTATTAACCACGACCGTGCATTCATAACCCGAAGTTACTTACTTGTGAAACCATCAATGATTAACCATCGGTTCATTGATCGTTTCTAGTAGTGATAGATGTCGAGATGTTAACATTTTGTCATCTTAGCAACACTCCCCAATATTAATATAAAGATAGATTAAGGAAAGAATTAATATTCAAGGGAAGAAGTAAGAAAATAACTCACAACTTTAACATTCAACAAGCTTCAAGAGCAAAATCAAGAAATGGAAGTTTAGCTCCTCATTTGAGGAATAAACATTCTAGAAAATATAAAGAAATAGCTATTCCAAACTGAGCTAAAGAGTATATGTGAATTGGTGATTTTATTGTGAAGATACAAGGGTGTATTTATAGGTGTTTGGAGGTGGCAGGATGGTGTACCCGACCGGGTATATAGGGTACCCGATCGGGTATTTTAGGCAGTTTCCCGGAAAGTCACTTTTCTAGACATACCCGGTCGGGTATGTAGGCATACGCGGTCGGGTATGAGCCGAATCAACTCAATACCTGATCGGGTATTGCCTATATACCCGACCGGGTATATGAAGTATTTTTTCAATCTTCTTTTTATCTTGTCCCTTGAATTTTCCTTGAACTTTTGGGGTCCAATCTTAATCATTTGGATGATCTTGATCTGTTTTAAGCTCAAAATGATTCTAATCTAAATGAATTACATCTATCTAAGAAAATAAACTAATTACACCAAAAGTGTGTAATTTCCCAAACAACAACAAATAAAACTAGTTAAAATAGAAATAATACATAATAAAAACACAAATCAATCAACTCCCCCATGCTTAGTTTCTTTACTCGTCCTCGAGTAAAGTCAATGTTTCATCAACACTTTGAACAATCATGAATACGCAAAAGACAACCAAGTAATGTTTAAAATGTGTTTACCAAAGTGAAATGATCACACTTATGCACTACACACTTCATGATATTGGGTTTACTTGTCTTCTATGCTTTTTTTTGTTCCTCTTCATCATTGTATCACCACATCCCTGTAAAAATAATTTCTCTCATTTTGCCTAGGATTTTTTTAATCCTAGTCTCTCATTTTAAAGCTGGGTTTGCAAATACTTAATTGGGTCATCTTATTAGGTTTAAGAGCCCGACACAAAATGAAGAAACATTCATAACCCTTCTAGACCAAATAAGGAAGGGTGGACAATCCAAATTGCTACTTTGGGCCCAACATGCTAAAAATGTAAGATACTCCGTATTTGGAAAATGGTGTCCTAGACCCACTCGAAGGCAGCTAACAAATTTTGTAGCCCACAAATATAAATGGAAAGGTCATAAATTAATGATAGTGAATTTATTTATGAATTTTAATTAATACGTAGTACTCGTATATTTTTATTTATTTTGTTTTAATATTAATATTTAACTCACATGTATATTACGTAGTAGTATACTTATAAGATCATATGTAGTATTAGATGCCGTTTGGATCATAAAAATGAATTGTTAAGCCTGAAAGTGCAAAAAAGAAAAAAATGCCAAACACCTATCTGATTGATTATTTTGGCTGATTTTTCTTATCAGCTGAAAAAACAAGCTAAGTCAAAGGTTACCTTTTTAGCTTATTTTGAAAAAACAAGTCATTGCAAAGATTGCAAAGAACTTTCAACCCTTGTATTGTACGTACTTAAATACCTGGAGTTAGGGGTGGATTTGGTTTTCACCTAAAATCAAATGCCGAATCAAAGTAAAAAGTTCGGTTCGGTTTGGTTCGGTTTGGTTCGGTTTTATGTTCAAAATTTTGAAACAAAGGTTTGTTCGATTCGGTTTATTTCGGTTCCATTTTAGTGTTTTCAGTTTTTGTCAGAATATTTTTGTTTTTTTAGTAATTGGAAACAAAAATAAAAAGTAAACTACATCAAACTATAATTGAAAACGAGAAAAGAAACAAATGCACTTCCAAGCAATGAAGTAGAGAGTACGTGTATACCAATTTAAATATTTTCTAAATTATTTTAACGCATGAATTTATTTGAGAATTATATACAAGTTAAATTTTATTTGTAAATGTTGTGTCCACTTATTCATTTTCTTTTTTATTAAAAGACTTTTGTTGATATATTAAATAACTTATTCTACTTTCTTTTTAGACAAAGATATTTATGATTTAAAGTTTCACATATTTGGCTATGTTGTTTAATGTATAGTTTAGATTAATACAGTGCATATTTGTTCAATATAAGAAAATATGTGATAACAAACTTACATTACAAATAATATCATTTCATCATTTCAAATTCATTTACCCCAGTGCCGCAAACGCTCCCACCTACGGTGGGGCAAGGGGGGTCGGATGTACGCAATCTTACCCCTGTACTAAAGCACATAAAGACTGTTTCCGGATGACCCATAGTGAAAATCGCGTCCAAAATTGCATGGACTGACTACTGCTTCATAACAAAGAAGAGCGGACAGTTTAATGAGCCATTTTTTGCTTTATTCCATCATATTATCAAGCCAAAAAATAATGAATCTTTGGCTCCATTGCAAATGATGGAAAGACATAACAAATAATATATCAACGAAATATCATTGTCATGCAACAACAACCAAAATGTAAATTATGATTTAAAATAACAACATATTAGTATTATAGCAATAGACTTAAGTGTATGTACACATGTTTCATATAATTAAACCATAATTAATAAATCGTAATAAGAATTAAGAACTAAACAAAACATCATACTTACTGATTAATAAATAAAATAGCAAGTTTTAAAAAGTTCGGTCTGTTAGGCTCAGTTCGATTTTGAGATTTGAAAACCAAAACCACACAACAATGGTTCAATTCGGCTTTTTGAGTCCAGTTTCGTTTTTCTTTGGATTCGGTTGTTTTGATTGCGATTCGGTTTTCAATTCGTGCTTCCTTCTTAGAAACCCACCTGATGTACAAATTTGGTAAAAGGTGAAAAGAGGTCTATTTAAAGAACCAAGAATGGTGCGAAAACTTTTGCTTATCTTTGGAGTGACTTCTAAAAAGAGTTCCGATTTCAGGAATATTGGAAAGAACTCATAAGTGGGCTATATAAAATTTGGCCATATTTCATTAATATAATAAATTGGATGTTGAGTTTTTTCATGAATAGAAGATGTATAGTAGTTGTAAGGAGCAGTCACTAGCATATATAACAACTCAATACCGTTTGTGGTCAATTACTTTAATCAGTCATTTCAGCCAACATACTCCGTATTACCAAACGTTTTCACTTCAGCAGATTCAACTACTTCAGTCTTTTCAGTCATTGCAACCATTACAAAACTCGTCTTTTCAGTCTTTTCTTGCGAATGCACCCGAAGTGTTGAAGAAGTGGAGGGCGATTAGGGGCAAAGTACTGTCGGGATTCCCTGTAGCCCGTAGAGAATGCTTAGAAGGAAGAATTCATACGTAGCTTCCAAATGTAGAAATTGCTTAGGAGAAAATATTCATACGTACGTAGCTAATGCTTAGGAGGAAGAAAACACACGTAGTCTTTTTTTTTTTTTGTGCTCAAAGCACAAATTACTTTGACGCACACATTTTCTCTATTTATAAACAAAGCAAACCCATGTACTCCGTACAAAACAGTGGTTACAAACCCACAACATGATGCCCACTCACCCACTATGCAGAACACTAATGTAATACTCCCCCGTCCCCGAAAAGGTTTTCCAATTTTCCTTTTTTAGATGTCCCAAAATGATTTGTCATTTCCATTTAAAAGTATAGAATATGTGGCTAAAGTTAATTCTCTCCCCTCTGCACAAATTTCAACCACATAGTTTTTACTTTATTAATCCACGTGAAAGTCAAAGTTGGCGAACCTTTTTGGCACGGAGGGAGTACGAAACATAATGTAATACTAAATGCAAATAACTTAATGTGCAACTTAACTAATTGACCCAAATTAGACTAACACTAATGCAACGGCACATACGCACATCAGTGCCGCTACACCACATGCACGGTGCCACGCGACGCACAATACTTGGCATGACTCATCGTGCTGTGCACTAACACTCTAGTCTAAAATGCATCAATGACTCAAAATAAACTAAAATAAACATGATGAAAAAAAGGTTAACTCCAACATCCCTCTCCGAGAAACAGGGTGGGAATCTTCTCGCCATCCATTTTGGTCAGTGTGAACAATTGCTCGAGCACCCGAAATGGTATTTGGTTCTCGAGGAAGAGGAAGTCGTCACGGAGGCTGAAACGTATCCATTGCATTGATCGAAATGGATCGTCTTTCTCAAAGGGAACCACCCTAGTGAATGCTCGAAACATTTCGACCACGAAGCACCCATTAAGGAAAAACATCTCTACAAATTCATTGTCTTTGAGAGTTATATCCTCAGAATAGGATTTTTTGGCCTCTGCTTCCAATCCTTTGACAGCTTCTAAGTATTGCTTCAAACCCCCGCCTTTGGCCTCTGTGGTCCTCTTTATCACTCTCGCCAAAAAACTCCACTTGTGCTCCTGCATCGCCTTCAGATGCGGCTTCCCACTGTGGTATGGACCAATTGAGACTATGCTCGCGGTTGATACGACCAGACGTTGTTGACTTTGGTGAAGCCTAGGTGTACCCGTAAAATGCAGCACTCACTTTTGCTCAGTGCTTTGGGGGGACTCTGATAGCTTTCTTTGCAAGAATTGGATGCATTTGTCTTCATGCCCTTGCACATTGATGCTTGGGTGTCTTGTGACGCTTTCGGCCTCCTCACTCCGGCTCCCTTTCATGATTGATCTTCTGAAATCTGGATCATATTCGGATATTCCAATGTCCAAACTATTTTTGAATCGAGTAGCACTTAACAAAGTTGGTTCCTAGCTTGGGGAACATCATAATTGTACTCGGTCCTGGTTACTTGAAGTAGTTTCACAAATACACTCTCTTTCCCTCTTAAAATTTTGCCAAGTTGACCGGCATGATGATTAATAAAGTAAAAATTGTGTGTGTTAAGGTTTGTACAGAACACAGAGAATTAACTTTATTTTAAAGAAAAAGTGACAAAGATAGTGAGACACCTAAAAAGGAAAGTTGACAAAATTTAAAGGGACGGAGGTAGTATCACAGCACAGAGTAGTATAGTATAGTACACTCCCTTAGCTAAGTACACTCCCTTAGCTGTTTCCACGTAAACTGGTGATACTCCCTCCGTCCCAGGGAGAAGTTCCTACTTTCCTTTTTTGGTAGTCCCAACAAAAAGTTCTCATTTCCCTAAATGGAAAGTTATCCTACATCAAAACAGTGTCAAACAATGTCTAAACAGTGCCAAACAGTGTTGAAACGGTGCCAAACAGTAAAATTTACCCCCCAGTAACTTTATTTCCTAAATATGTGTGAAAGTCAAACCGGGAACTTCTCCCAGGGACGGAGGGAGTATTTTTTTGTAACTTTGAGCTTGGAATAGTCTTGAATTTTGTTTGTAATCGATTGAGTAGATTACTTCTCTATGCTGAATTATTGACACAGTTACGAGTGCAACCTATTGATTAAAGAAAACGATAGGTAGAGATATTATAAAATCTCATAATGCAATATTGACACGAACATCCAAGGTTTGAAGTAGCGTTTCTATTAAAACATGGCTTAGTATTTTGTCCATCATTGATATGAAAATTATTTAGCCCTTAGATTGTGGTTGAGAATTGCTAGCAATTTTGATATGAAAATATTGTGATTGAGAAATACTACCAACTTTGATATCTCATTTTGTCCCCCTTATGTGCAATTTCATGTTCCGCTAACTGTTTGTTAACTTATGATTCTCTTTAAACCTTGTTTCCCTAGTTTTAACCAAGTTTCATACGTGCATATTTTTTATCACTAAATTGAAAAATGGGCCTGTTTATTTAAATTCTTTTCTGTTTCTCTAAATAATCGAATACATACATATATGCAAATTGAGAGATACCAGCATTTTACTCGATGTCATCGATACTTTATGAAAAGAATGGAAGTCCCCTCATATATAAAAAGAATGTTCAAGATAGTTAACCTTGACTCCTTTATGTATAAGGATCCCTAGTTTTTGGGTAAATTATTTATCAATTTTCATAAAATTGATAAATATCATTCATATGAAATTCATAGATTTTTGCAAATCAATAGAATTCATTCATAAAGATTTTAAGCAGTACACTAAAAGCAATGGACTTCTCTGTTGTAATCCAGTGGGTGTGAAATTTTGTTGAGTTGTTCCGGACCGACCGTTACATTCCGGATGAAGAAGATAAAAGTTACTCCTAATTCATAACAGAGAAGGTAACATAGAGGAGTTTAAAATTGTAAACTAGATGAAAACGTTAATTAAATGAGGAATAAAGCAAATAAATTCATATTCATAGATCAATTCAAAGGTGAGGGCGTGAGGCCAACACAAAGAAAACGGAAACAGTAAACACGAGAGGTGAATAGAAAGTAAAAAAAAAAAGAATGGAACAACTTTTACAACAACAGTGAACGCCCAACATTTTTATTGTAACATGCCCTCCCTAATCATCACTGTGCTTATTAGAAGATTATTAGTAGGAAATCAAGAAGGGTACCCAGGGAGTCGGTAATTGCACGAAGTACACGAAAGCGGTTGTAATACTTGTTCACGCCAGCAAACACCTCCTTCAAGTAGCTTTCACCGAGATGGTTGGACGCCGCGGCCTTCCCGAGCATGTCCACAAAGGCCGCCAACTCACTCTGCGTCGCAAAATGGTTGTGCAAGACCTCGGAGTGACACAGAATATCCACGTCCTTTTGCGTGTCTACGAGGCACCCGAGAAGCACCGCGTACCGCGACACGAGCAGTGGCGGATTTATGTTTTATATTTTGAGTGTTCAATTTATTTATACAATGAAACCTTAAAAGAGCAATAATAATTAAACAAGATTTATACATATATACTAACAAGTTTTTCAAAATTTTAGGTGTTCATAAGCACACCTTTGAACAAAAGGGCTCCGCCACTGGACACGAGCCTGTCGCTCCCTGTGTGGCATTGCTCGAATGCCACACAGTTCAGCAAGAACGCGCACATCGCGTCGTCCAACGCTAGTCTGGGCATCCTGATCCTTCCCCGCTTGAATCCCACCGCTAAGAAACTCCTCTCCTCTTTTTTGTTGCGCTTCACCTTGATTCTGGCTTGGCGCAGCTTGGAGATGCGGTGCAGATTGCGGTCCTCATATTTCCGGTCTTTTGACCCAGATCCCGGTTTCTTCTGCTCCCCAAAATCCTTGGGGAAATAACTTTTCCGCACTAAATCAAGTAGATGAAGGCCTTTCAACTCCCCGTCGGGAAGGGAACTGTCCTTGGTCCCTTTCGCTTTTCTTTCAAATTCATCACTCGAGGTGTCGAAGAAGCGGAGGGCCAGCAGGGACAAACAACTCTTATGAGATGTTCCGTTGGGCATCGTTTCGTCGTCAATTTCAGTAAGTTCGAACAATTTTTCGAGCACGAAATATGGTATTTGGTTCTCGAGGCAGAGGAAGTCATGGTGGAGACCGAAGCCTATCCATTGCATAGAACGAAATGGATCATCTTCCTCTAAGCCAACCTCCCCGCTGCTGAATGCCCGAAACATTTCAAGCACAAAGCAGCCATCAAGGACCAACATCTCAACAAACTCATCGCTTCTCAGATTGATAGCCTCAGAATAGCATGCTCTGGCCTCTGCTTCCAGATCTTTGACAGCTTCTACATACTGCTTCAAACCCACACCTTTTTTCTTCTCCGTCGTCCTCTTCACCGCTCTCTCCAAAAACCTCCCCTTGTGCTCCTCCATCATCTTCAGGTGTTCCTTCCCGTGGTGGTATGGGCCGATTGAGACTATGCGAGGTTGATACGACTGGACTTTCACTTTGGTGAGGCCCGGGTGTACCCGGAAAATGCAGCAACCGTTTCTGCCGGCCGATTTGCTCAGTGCTTTCGGCGACTTCGATAGCTTACTTTCCAAGACTTTGATGACCGTGTCTTGGTCTCCTTCAGCCTCCTCATTCCAGCACCGGTCGTTGGAAATGATCCCATTCATGTTTGAGAATAATACTTCAAATTCCAAACTGTTTTGGAATTAATTAACGGGTCACTTACGCAGTATCATACGGAGTATGAGTATTTATACTCTGTTCATGTTACTCCTAGGCCCTAGCTCACACTACACAGTACACTCCCTTGGACAATTTTTGGTGGAGTTCAAAAGTTACTCCGTAAATATAGGCTTTCTCCATATGAAAGCACTATTTAGATTCTTTTATTAATACTGTTCTTCCCTATATTTCAGTATAGCCAATCATTTAATTTAGGGATTTAGGGATAAGGGTCAGATAGGGCTTCGAACTCGAAAAAAATATCAAATAAGGTCATATTTAGGATACTCTGTCCGGCCGACGCCATTTGGGGTGGTTCCCGATGGAATTTTTTGATGAAATTTTTTGAGCATCTTCCTCATTAAGTCTAGTTTATTCATCCTAAATTTCACCTAAAAATGCAATCGGGAAGGTAGTCAAATGATTTTTCGAAATGTACGGGGTTGTTTAACTTCACAATTATCTTCAAACAATCATTTGACTACCTTCCCGGTTGAATTTTTAGCTGAAATTTGGTATGGGTAAACTACACTTAATGAGGAAGATGCTCAAAAAAATTTATCAAAAAATGGCATCTGGAACCGCCCCAAATGGCGTCGGCCGGACAGAGCATCCTAAATATGATCTTATTTGACATTTTTTTTCGAGTTTGAGGCCCTATCTGACCCTTATCCCTTTAATTTAGTATAACATTAAATAAATTATTATAAGCAATATTCTCCTTTTAAGTTTTTCTCAGAATATTTATGAAATAAAAAATACATATTTTGATGTGAAAAAATATAATTTTCATTTACTTTTTAACGTTTTTAGTTAACAAAATATGAACTTAGTTCAGTTAAAGTTCAATTTTTATTAGATTCTCTTCTAAACATTCAATTAAATCATGTGTGAACATCTTATGAGCATTCTCATTAAATTCGTATTTCATTAGACAAAAATAAAATGAGAAGATGTAATATTCAGTTATTTATGGAGGCTTCATGAATTAACAATTTTTGTTTCGTGTTTTTTTTTGCTCAAGAAAACTCTAATCGTTAAAGCTTCATATTTTTCACGTTATGTATGTAATATTGGTGACATATGAAAGATCATAAAAATTCATGAATTTTGATATATTTTTTGAAATATTTGAAGAACTTTTTCATCTTTTTTCCTTATCGACCCTTTCCAATTTAAAACTTCTACCCATTTTTCACTTTTATTCCCTTTTTAATCCCTCACTACTCTGAATTAGGAGTTCAAAATCTCCAAATTCAACATATTTGAATCCTAATCTCTCTCTACTACAAATGGTCTTACTTGTTTGCACGCAAAGTTGCTGTATTTTTTTGTAACGTTTGAACATTTTGTTTGTGATCTTTCAATAATTTACTTCTCTACTCAAATACTCGGTATTTCATATCTAGAGCCGGCCTTCCCGATGTACCGGAAGGTGGAAGAATTTGTGGAAATTACCCGTTTGGGCTACTTTTGCTGTTTGCACTCCTGATATCATTTATGTCTCAATTGTTTTTTCTTTTCATTTTTAACCTTTTCAGTTTTCAACTTTGTTTTTTTTATTTCAACTAGTATTTTACCCGTGCGTTGCACGGGATAATAAAGTAACAAATAAATTGCAAAATTATTTGAAATTGTTCACAATGAGCTGTGACTTATCTATTAAGCTTGAAACGGTTCCACAAATTGATTGTTTGTTGAAAAAATGGCGTGCGTATGACAACTGGGCTTTTGTTTTCCACATCTTATACTTCTATGATGGTCTTGTTGATGATGATAGAAGAATGGTGAATGCGTCTTGTGGAGGTGGGATAGTCAATAAAACTCCTTCACAAGCTATAAGTCTTATCTCGGAGTTGGCCGAGAACTCACGACAATTCGGCCGCAAAACCTCAACTCGAAGAGTTCTTGCGGCGGAATCCAGCACAACCACTCTAGAGAGTCAAGTTGCTGGCTTGACGTCTTTGATAAAAGAGCTCCTTTTAAAACCAAAAACTCAGGAGGTAAAAACTTGTGGAGTTTGCACATCAACCGGACACCCCACTGATGCGTGTCCATCACTCCAAGAAGAGCAAGTCAACGCTCTCGGTTTTCAAAGACATCAACAAAGAAGGTATGATCCTTTCTCAAATTCTTATAATCCGGGATTGAGGGATCATCCAAAATTGAGATACGGAAACCCTCAAAAAACCAACTCATCTTCTCAACAACCATCTCAATCCAATGTGTCAACGGATGACATGATCCGAATTTGACATCAAACATGGTTACCATGCAACAAAACATGGGAGAATTTCAACAAACCATGATACAATTCCAACACGAGACAAAGTCAAGCATTAAAAATTTAGAAACTCAAGGTAGCCAAATTTCTAATGCCGTAAACCGACTTGAAGCAAAGGACTCGGGAAAACTCCCATCTCAAACGGAGCAAAACCCGAGACAACATGTGAATGCAATCATGTTGAGAAGTGAGATGACATTGAAAGAATTAGAAAAGGAAGACCAAATTCTTGAGGAGGTTGACCCTGAAGAGGAAGCTCACTCGGAGGAGGGAATCACAAAGGCAAAACTTCCTACATCTCCATCATATGAACTAGTGGCCTCATTCTCTGAGGAATTGAGGGAAACAAGGAAGCTTGACAAAGATGCTAACATCTTTGAAACTTTCTCCAAGTGTGAGGTAAACATTCCGCTCCTTAACTCAATGAAAAGTGTTCCCCGTTTTGCTAAATTTTTAAAAGAATTATGCAAAACAAAAAATAAAGTGAAAGGAAAACAAGAGGTTAAGGTGAGTGAACATGTTTCGGCTCTTTTTCAAAAGAAACTCCCCGAAAAATGTAGCGACCCAGGCATGTTCACCATACCTTGCAAAATAGGAGACACCACATTTTCTAAAGCCTTGTTGGATTTAGGGGCATCCATAAATGTCATCCCTTACTCGGTGTATAAATCCCTACAACTCGGTCCACTACATCAAACCGGTGTAGTGATTCAACTAGCGGACCGTTCTACTACTTACCCGAAGGGTGTAATAGAAGATGTGCTAGTAGAAGTAGAAAATATGGTTTTTCCTGTTGGCTTCTATATCCTTGAAATGGGGGATGGTAACCAAACAACACCTATCCTGTTGGGTAGACCCTTATTAAAGACCGCAAAAACAAAAATTGACGTGTCTAGTGGTTCATTAACTTTAGAGTTCAATGACCAAAAAGTAGAGTTCAATATATTTGACTCTACGAAAAAACAAATTAAAGATCAATCCCTTTGCTCTTTAAATGTTTTTGAACCACAAGAACCAAAGTTTTTGAAAGAATCTGTTGAAATCCCAATTTTTCAAGGAAAAGAGGAAACTAAAAATGGGAAATCATTTTTAAAGATGCTATCAAATTGTGAACTAAACCCACCGATGGTTGAGGTGGAAGCAAGAAACAAATCTCGGCCTTACTGGAAAAGGCCGAAAAATAAAATTGAAACAAGGCCAAACAGGGACTTAAAGAAGGATAAAAGGAATGTTCATGATCCCACATAAACAAAAAAGATAAAATAAAAATAAACGTCGTTCCGCGACGTTAAATTAGGCGCTTCTTGGGAGGCAACCCAAGCAAGATATGCTTTTTTTTTTCCGTAGTGTGCGTGTGTTTAAAAAAAAAACAAGTGTATCTGGGGGCATACCCGATCGCGTATGTAAATATACTCGGTCGAGTATTGATAAAAAAAAAAAGAGGAACCAATTTCAGTACTCGATCGAAGCAACAAAGCTTTTTAGAGATGCAAGCATACTCGATCGAGTATATGTCAATACTCGGTCGAGTATGTACAGAAAGACGAAATCAAAGGGAGCCTGCCTCCTATACCCTATCGAGTATCTACCAATACTCGGTCGAGTATCACTGGAAAAGCCATTTTTGCACCCCCTGTCTCCAGCACCCGATCGAGTATAGGGTGATACCCGATCGGGTACCCCTGCGGTTTATACCCATAAAACACCCCAACCCACTTCATCTTCTCCAAAATCATCCCAAACTTCAAACCCCTTTCCCCCAAACTCCATTTTTCTACCTTCTCTCTACCATATCTCCTTCATTTCTCCACCAAATCACTCGTACAACAACTAATACACTCTCCTCACTTTTCTCTACAATCAAATACCCAAAAATCCTCATATTTTTTTTCCATTCAAAAAACAAAACAAAATTGAAACCTACCCTCAAGTCCGAAACCTAAGACCCAAAAACAACATTCAACGACACATAAGAAGGTGAGGGCCGAAAGTATAAATGCAAAGGGACAACGAGGATGTCCGTTTCAACCCGGGTATAACGAAGACAAGCACTAGGGACAGTGCTTCGAGCTAAGTGAGGGGGAGTCACTCATTGGAACATACTTAATTTTCTACCTTGTAACTTGCATTATTTTCTTCACACAAAAAAAAAATGAAAAAAAATGCTAGTTAGGTTGAAAACCCTAAAACGGGCAATCTAAACAAAAAGGGCTTTAAAAAAAACAAATGAGTGAGTGGAAAGGATGAAAAGAAAAAAAAAAAGATGCTAGGATGAAAACAAGAGAAGACTCCTAGGCAAAATGAGAGATATGAGAGAAAATTTGTTTTTGCAGAACATCATTTAATCTCTTTAAACAATGAAAAGAGGAGAAGAAGAAAAAGAGAAGAAAAAAAAAGGCAAGAAGATGGAGCATAGAAGATCACAAAACCCAAGAAAGAATTTTGTTTTTGGAATTGAAACTCATTTTTTTTTCCTTGGTGATCTTAGTTTCTTCCTTTCTTGAACTCTTGAAAAATTCTCAAACTGTTTGGATGTTTCTAGTTTACTCGAGGTCGAGTAAAGGACTAAGTGTGGGGGAGTTGATACACTTGTAATTTCCGTGTGTGTTTATGTTTTTAGCTTGTTTTAATTGTTTAATATTTCGGAAATTACACACTTTTGGTGTAATAGTCATGTTTGTAAAATAGTCGTAATATGTTTAGATTAGGTCCATTCTGAGTTTAAACAGGTCCAAGATCAATTCAATGATCATTGGTGAAGGAAGGTGCAAGAGTACAACACAAAAAGAAGGCAAAATCCTGATTTTTGACCTATACTCGATCGAGTATAGCATATACTCGATCGAGTATCTTGTTGAGATTTCAAATCGGATCGGATCTGAAAACAAAGGAACATGCAGGGAAGATTTTGACCACGATCGAGTGTCGATACTCGATCGAGTACACCGACATACTCGATCGGGTATGACTATAAATTATACTCTGAATTCGGTCGAGTATGGGTCGAATTCAAGTTTCTACTCATACTCGATCGAGTATATATACATACTCGATCGAGTATGCCTTTAATTTTAAACCTGAAATCGATCGAGTATACCTCGAATTTGCATTTCTACACATACTCG